AAAAAAAAAAAAAAAAAAAAAAAAAAAAAAAAAAAAAAAAAAAAAAAAAAAAAAAAAAAAAAAAAAAAAAAAAACTCTTCTATTAGAAATAGACTAAGAAATACAAACAAGTTCAAAATATTTTGAATAGATAACCCATTAAGAATTGTGAATAACTTTGGTAAAAGAACTTGTACAATACTCCAGTTCAACCAACAAATCACAAACCAAATGCTATAGGGTCATCTGATCTAACTAAACCAATCTATATTAGTTATGAAAATATTGAGAAATTTTTGCTTTACTTTGAAGCATATATAGCTTTGAAGGACTAAAACAATAAAAAAAAGAAATTAGTAATCATATTGTATGTACCAGACAAGTTAAAACCATTAATAATGCAATTAATAAAGGCTCACTCAACATGAAGCACTTTGAAAGAGGCCATGACAGTGAAGTAGGCAATATTGTCAGATATCAATAAGAAATTAGAGCATTTAAAGAATATAATCCAAAAAACTGGTAATACTATTCAAATATATACCAACTGTTTTAATGTGTATATTGTCAAAATAAAAGAGCAAATAAGAGATTTGGAGAAGAAAGAATGGTACATATAGGGCCTTCAAAGTCCATATAGAGAAAAAGTTGTTGGGGCACACCCAGAGACATATGAAAATGCAAAGAAGCTAGCAGCTAAGATAAAAAAGTATGATCAAGATAGAGAATATATTAGCAAAAGTCTGACTAAGATTTTAATTGAAAAAACAAACAAAGTGAACAAAGAAAAGGTCAATAAATTCTCTACTATGAAGGAAGTAATAAAGGTTTGTTGTGTTGAGAATCAGTATTCTTTAAATATAAAAAGGTTAGACTGAATAAAAAAAGTATTATAGAGTTGCAAAAGACTATACAAACCCTTATAGAAAGAAAACACAATTCATTTCTGTACAGGTTTTTGTTAGCAAACTTGACATTAAATAGGGGAAATATAAGTCAAAATAAAAGTAGTATGTTTTATGGGTGTTTTGTATATAGATGCAATAGACATATAGCATGTGATTGTTCAAATCGGTTAGGCAAAATTAAAGTATAGGACAACTGACCTCAAACTTAGATAGTCAAACAAATGGCTTAGATATAAGAAGTGCTGATTTAAGGCTTTTCGAAGTCACAGAGAAGACAATGCCAAAGAAAGATGAATATCTTATAATACATGTAAATGAGAATAAGATATTGTTTGATATCAGAAATCTTAATAAAAGGTGGCAAATAAATACAAATGAAGCAACCCATACATCTAAAAAGAGAAAAGGTGTAGAATCTCTGAATCTTTCTAACTTGCATAATGATAAGGTCTTGAGAAAGAGATCTGTTATATATATAACAATAACTGAGCTGACTCAAGAAATAGATATTCTTAAATTAATAGCTAAAAAAGAAGTAAATATCACCCTAGGACAACTGTTCAAGTGGTCCTCTAAAGCTCATATAGAAGTACTCAAAGCACTGACAAGGAAAAAGCAAGAAAATGATATTCTTTTTGTGGATGCCAAAATTGGTATCATACGAGGAGTTCTTGAGAAGAATAAATTAAAATTAGATGTGCCAATAAGCATGCCAAGGATCAATGAAGAAGTAGTTGCAGCACCTGTAGATTTTGGGTTCCAATTAAATCTAATGCATGAAAAGTATGCATGAAAGCAAGGTTTCATTTGGCAACCAGCTATAAAAAGAGATGTATAGCAGATGATCGCTTGAGCAAATTCATGGGATACATCACAAATGTTGAAATAGATATGAAAAAAATTATCATGCATCAGGAGTTTTATATTATGAAGGCTGCTAGTTTTGACGTATTGCTTAGTATGTTTTGGCTAGCTATGTCTAAATGCAGTTTGAAGTGGTGAGATAATAAACTCTGGTGTAATATTAAGTCCAACAAAAGAAAGCAGTATTCATAATCTTGGTAGTACCACCAAGTTGGATAAGCAAGAAAGACGAAGATAGTGAGAAAGAGAAGGAAAAAGTTAGAAATTTAATAGAAGTACGAAGAGTTGAAGCACTAGAAATGGAAGATGTAAAATACTTAGGAGACATTGTGAACAAAGGTTCAAATGTTGACAATTTAAAGATTAGAAAGGTAAATGGTACTGATATTTATTATATAGTTGATACTGAGTACAAAGGAAGGGTGGTATATTGGCTGGTAAAAGACGAAAATACCAATATAACAATTAATAGAATAGAGCTGGAGTTGGTAATGTGATTAACAAAAGAAAATTGTATATTGGTAAATATCGGTAGTAGATTATCAGAAGTTGAGAAACAACAACTACGAGAGCAGTTAATTGAGAAAATAACAGATATGTTTGCTTTCAATTTATCTGAAATTGAAAGAACTGACCTAGTTTAATATAAGGTTTATACAGACAGAAAAGTGATATCTCCGATACAAATATGCTTTATTCAGATTAACAATTTGAAACATGCCAGAATATTCAAAGAACATTTGAGAGAGATGATGATGAATGGATTGTTAAAAAAGGAGACAGAGAATACACTTACTACTGCTTTCTAGTAAGGAAAAAGGAAGGCAGAATGGATTATTTTCAGGTGGTTGGCAACATGAGATCCCTTAACAAATACATTATTAAAGATATTTACCCACTGCTATTAATAAGAGACATCCTGGAGAAGGCAGCTAGGCATGATTGGTACTCAAGCATGGATGTATTTAAGAGATACTGGCAAATTCATATTCAAAAGGAGGATCAAAACAAAGTTGCTGTTTCAATATTGTTGGGTATGCTCTGATATGCTATAATGTGCATGAGCCTTAAAAATACAAGCAAAACCTTTCAACATTTGATGAACATGTTATTGGAAGAAGAAGAATGATGAAAAATTGCAGAGGTCTATTAGGATTGTAGACTAATGAGCCTAAAGAATTATATGTTAAAAAATTTGTTAAATTAGCCAAAAACTTCAAGAGCACTGGTTTAACCTTTGCTACAAAAAAATACTTCTTTTTGTACAAAAAGTTGTACATATATGGCTTTGTTATCAGCAAAAAGGAAATTAAGACGGACCCCAAAAGGGTTGAAAGAATTGAAGAATGGAAAGAGCCTACAAATCTTAAACAGGTTCAATCATTTATAGGAGTAATAAACTACTATCGATGATTTATAAAGGAGTTTAGCAGAATTGCAAAGCTTTTAACCGACTTGACAAGAACAAAAGTTAGATTCTATTAGGAAAAAGAACAGGCTTTAGCCTTTCGTATTTTGAAAACTTCTTTGATAAGTGAGACTATATTGAAAGAACCAAATTGGCAAGGAGCACGTGATGAGATCTGTCTTTATTAACTCTATTCTAATGTATGTGATATCATACTCGATATAATATTGGAGCAAAATAATAAAAAAGAAAAGCTCAAACCTGTTTCTTTTGAATCCCACAAGATGAATAAGCATAAGGTTATAGTATACTAGAAAAAAAATGCTTGGGAGTAGTTTTTGGATGTAATAGAGATAAACACTATATAGCTAGTACTATATTTGATATATAGATAGACACTAAGCTCTGAGTTGGTTATTCAACAAAGTCACATTGAAAAAATGCTTTATGCGATAGGTGTTGGCATTACAGTCTTTTGATTTTCATGTTTGATATAAGCCAGGTAAAGAACACAGAAACACTGTCAGATTATCTAGATCACCTGATTCTATGAATAAAACAAATAATAATAAGAATTTTGTAGATTCTTTGATAATGTATATGAGTTCTAAAGACATTAAATTAACAGACTTAAAGGTAGTTTACTGCTACTTAAGAATCTTCTCTTGGCCTGCCAATATAAGCAATGTGGATTTGAAATGACTTTGATGAAAAGTGCAGAGATATTGTATGATTAGTAGCCAGTTGTATAGACAAGCAAAAAGGAGAAAGCTGTCTCTAAGAGTGATATTTGAAGATAAAGAAAAGATACAGATACTTAAGGCAAATTACGAAAGGTTGGCGGAGAAAGGTGGTTACCAAGGAATTAATTTGGTAACTCAAAAAATCTTGATAAATTATAAGTGGATAATCAGAACGATATATAAGAATACTAAGGCATATGTTTCATCTTGTGAGGTTTACTAGAAGTGTGTATCTAAGATACTACCAGAACCACTTTATATAATAGTGATGAGCTGGATTTTCAATAAAATATTCATTGACTGTATAGGACCATTGCCATAAATCACTGCTGAATATAAATACATAGTCGTAGCTGTAGAAGAGTTAACTAGATTCATAGAGAGCAGGGCTCTAAGGAGAAAAACTTCAGAAAACATAGTACAATTTTTGTAAAAAAATATTATACTAAGACATGAGTGTTTTGTGAAATTAATTTATAATCAAGAAAAGAAATTTAAAAATGGTATAATTAATAAACTCACCTGATGTAAATAGTAAAGTGGAGAGAACAGTTCAGAAGTTGACTAGGATTTTGAGAAAGGTTTGTGCTAAAAGACAAAATAAATGATATGAATACTTGCGTGAAGCAATTTGAGTGATGAATATTACTATAAATGACCTGGGCTATTCGCCTTTTCGATTAGTCTATAGTTATGATGCTGTTGTACTTATAGAACTAACAATGGAGAGTTATCAAGTAATGATGGCTAAAAAGCAGTAGACAACCAATAAACTGCTAAAATTCTGACTAAAACAAATGAAGAGCCTTGTATATGAGTTGAAAAAAGTGTGGAATAAAAAGAACAAAGTGAAAGGAAATACATGATAGGTATAGTATCAAAGATAAAGAACCTGTAAGTGTTGGAAATTTAGTGCTTGTATATGATTCTACTCTTAATAGTTCATCAAGAAAATTCGATTATCACTAAAATGGCCCTATATTGTGAGAAAAATAGAATGTTTTATTTGACTGAAGTGGATGGAAGTAAATTGCAAGAGCCATTTACTAGGAATAGGGTTAAGAAATTGAGAAAAAGAACAGGTGTAGTAAATGTTGAACCGATTGTAAATAGTGTTGACTTTGAAAATATAAGTTAAGTGAGATCTAGTCCTGTAGTAGTCATGATCAGTTCTCTGATAAAAGTCATATTCTGAAATATGTAGTAAGAGATGTAACAATAAAAAGAAGTTTGAATTAAAAAAAAAAAAAAAAGAGAAATCAATTTTGTGTCTGAACTGTTCTCTCAGAATCATATATATTAATAATCAGATCAGGGGTATATGAGAAACTGAAGTTAAGCGGGGAGCTTATGCAATCAATTAAAAATCAATTAAGATATATAAAATATATGTAATCAAGAAAAGAGTTTAATACTATATAACCAGTTTATTATATAATTAGGAAGTTAGTTAAAAGATTAAATATAAATTATAATATAATTAATTAAGAGTGTATATAAGAAGATTAAAAAAATAAAGAGAAAAAACTTAACTTCTCTTTTGCTTAATAAAATAAAGTAATATTTCTAAAAACAACTACTTCTCTCCGAAAAGCACACGAGCATTATGTTAGAGATAGAACAGACAACTTTGGCAATTTTAAAACATCCATATTAGTAGCCAAGTAACACTTTAACAGATATAATTGCTATAATTTTTTTATCTTCTGATTTAAGCTTATTAGAATATGAATTAGCATAATATTCTTTTGTTAATGCTTTTCTACTTCAATTTAAATATCAGTATTAATACTATGCTTATAAAATTTAAATTCTTATTTTCAGACTCATGAATTAATTTTTATGAGATTTGACAGGGTCAAGTTTTACAATATTTAAAATAAACTATTTGGATAATACATTTTTAAGAGGATTTTGCTAAATAGAAGTTAAACTTTATAGCAAAAATTTATAGTATATTAAAAAAAATTAAAACAAATATCTTATTTATAATATTTATAGTTTTTATAGATAATATTAAAACAATTATTTATTTATAATTTTTAAAACAAACTTTTATATATTATATATTTTATATATTTTTTAAAATTATTTATTAAGATATAGAGGAGTTATTTATATAACTTATAATTAAAATTATAACAACTTCAATACAAATTTAATATATATAATAGTTATCAGAATAGTAAATAAATTATATAACAAGATTTTGTTTGCAATAGCTCACAATAAAATCATAATAATTCTTAACTTATCTTATTTAGTTAAAATAGTAAATAATTTTATAACCAAATTTTTTTAATAGTTTATAAATAAATTACATTAATTTAAATACAAATAAACTCACTTTTTGTAGTTATTGGTAGGGATGTTATTGGCTTTACAAAAAGCTAGCTTTAGCTATAAATTTAAACCAAGCTTAACAAAGCCAAACTAAACTAAAAGCCTAAGCTATAACTCAAGTTAAAGCTTTAAATTATAGTTTAAGCCAGAGTAAAGATGGCTTTAGCCACAGCTTGATTATTAGCTTTAATTATAGCTTAAGCTAAAAATAGCTTTAGCTACAGCTTGAAATTATTAGCTTCAATTATAATAAGTTAATACAAATAATATATTTTAATTATACTTTATATACTATTTTAAAATATTAATGTTTTAAATATAATCTTAAATACAATTTATAAATAAATATAGCTATATTAAAAGGATTTCATAATTAAAAAAAAATAGTGTATTTCAGAAATAAGTAAAAATCTTATTTAAGTATCAATCTTTTAAAATTAAAAATAAAATAGAAGTATTAGAAACTTTCATTTGGCAAAATAAGTAAATTTTTTTTTATTGTATATACAGATCAATAAATTATTTATTGTGGTTTTTGAAATAGTTAAAAATAGATAAAAAAAAATTTTTTTAAATATACCTATATATTTGTATACTGGATTATCTTAGCATATTGATTAAAGATTAATGCTTGATTTACTTATTGTTTTAAACAATAAATATATATGTATATAATTAAAAATTAATTTTAAATTAATATACTAAAATAATCCAGTATATAAGTATATGTAGTATACAAATATACTATATTAGGAAAATTTTTTTTACTTATTTTTGCCATTTCAAAAACCACAATAACAATAACAATATATAAAATTTTTGCTCAAATTACTTACTAAGCCTTTGCTTAACTTTTGTTTTTTTTATATAATTTACTAAATCTTTACTTAAATTATTTACCTTTTGTTTAAATTATTATTATTATTTTTTTAATGTTAAAGATGAGACCTTGCTCTTATCTTTATTAAATTTAACAAAAACTTTTTACATATTCAGAAAATATTTTATTATTTAAATTTAAGGCTAAAAAAAAGAACTTAGACATATATCTAAATAAATCTAAATACTTATCTGTGGCCTAAACCTACCAGAGTGGTCAAGGCTTATCTAGATTTGGAGATAGGTAAGAATATAGGAGGGGTGTGAAGAGAATTTGATCCAATTAGTATACCAAATTTCTACTTTATGAAGAGAGTTAAATGCAGTAGAGTTAGAGATATTAATAGATAGAGAGGTAAGACTATAACTAGATGAGATATTATTAACAGGAGTAATATTAGTATTATTATTTAAAGTGAAGTTAAACTGTGATCTTGAGATACAGTAAAGAATCCAAATATTAGAATAAATTTGTTGGTTTAAGTAGAGAAGAAGTTAAATAGTAAGAGAACAGGCAATACTTTTAGAAGAAGTATATTCTTGTAGTATATTTATAATATCAAGTGGAACAAGACCTGAAATTGTGGAGAACAGTGATAGTTTAAAACCAAAAGAGTGCATTTGTAAACTGTTATTTGGTTCAAAAGATGTTGTATTTGAGTATGTAAGATTTGAAGTTTACAAGAGATCAAGATATGTTGTAAAGAAGTATTAAGTAAAGTTAGTAGTAGCTCTGGAGAGGGACAAGTAGCCTAATGGAGTGTATAGGTAGGTTGTTGGCAAATGTGGCAGGAGTTTGGATAAGAGGAATATCTTTGATGGAGAATATGTGGTGATGGGAGGTCATCGAGCAATAGCTTGACTCTAAATATTTTAAGAGTAAAGAATTGGAAGCTACAGTATATGCATAGTTTAAAACTTTTTAGTTGTTATTAAGATAAAGCCAGGTGGCATTCCAGTGAATATTAGAAAAGAAGAGAGACCATTGTTGTATAAGATGTTGGGATGACTATCGTGCAAGAATATTTGCATTGCAAATAGTTTGAATACTTCGCCAGATAGAAAGTTCGAGTAAATAGTTATTGATAACTAAAGATTGTATATATTGTAAAAATTAAAAGTAAGAAGTGGTGACTCAGAGTGATTATAGGTTAATTCATCAGTCTTGTTATTAAGTTTATTATCCTTAGAGCTCCTATCAGATTGGACTGAACCGAACTTTTGTCAAGTTTGAATCCGGTTCGATTTTTGAACCAAACTCAAACTTTTTGTTTCAAACTTTTTAGTCAAGTTCAAGTTCGGTCCGGGTTTGGTTCGAAGTTTGTCAAACTAGTTCGAAGTTCAAATATTTATATATGTATTTTTTTGTGCTAAACAAGTTTACTTAGTACATGAAGTTAGAATTGATTAGTAAACTTTCGAGAATAATAAGA